TGCATACATAGTTTTTTCATAATATGCATTTTATATGAACTTTTTGAAGACCCCTTGTAGCTATCTGCACAATCCCAAGACTTTGTTGCTGGTATTCTGCTTACCCTGACAGGAGGGCCTCTTGTGGTTTCTATCCAGCTGTATATCTCCACCAGGGTGGTGGTGGTGCTCTACTCTGTGCCATGCACTCCCAGAGCACAGGAGGGAGGCTGACCCAGCCATTGCCCTCTAAGACTTCCATAGGCCAACACTGTGTCAGTATAGCATTCCCCATCGGATTATGTCCCATGTAGGCTGAGCCGCCAAAGAGAGCTGGTACAGGCCTAGGAGGCCCCTGGGGAGAGAAGACTGGAACTCCATGCATGATAGGGGAAGAAGAACACTTGGGAAGCTGCTGGTAGAGGGGAAGGGACCCTGTACCTGAGTTGGACTGAGCTTGGATCCAAACCTCAGTACTGCTACTGTTGAAGGTTGCATATTGGATCTTGCACATGAACAACTGTTTGTCCATTTTTTTCCCTTACCCTAACATGGCTGTCTACTTCTGTAAAACTGCTTGCTCTTCCCATGAGAAAATAGCTTGTGCTAGCCATATAGAAAACCATATCTAGGAAGACATCCTGTACCTGCTACTGTCTTTGCTAACTAGCCCAAAATCCTTTTGTTTAGTAATGTAACTGCTTGCATGGAAACCCCACTCCCCTCAGAAATAATGTACCTGCTTAATTCAGCTTCTGTAACTGTTTGCATAGAAATCTCTGGTAAATGACCCCCTATAAAAAGACTACTCAAACTTTGGTCGGGGCTACAATTCTGACTCTTGATGTCCTGCATCCCCCACCCCACCCCACCCCCAGCCTCAGACTGTAGTCACTGGCTAAGTAAAAAACCTTTTAAACTTAATCTGGCTTTAGTGGTTGTTCATTCGGTGGCACTCTACAATATTACATAGTCAACTGCAAGCCTATAGATGAAACACTTCTTTTCTGAGCCTATTTGTCTATCTGTGAAATGGAGATCATGACATCTTCACAGGTTATTGTGTGTGTTAAATGAGATTTGGTTACCAAAGTGCTGGAGAATGTTAGGTATCATGATGAAAAAGAGAAAAACAATGATTGTTGAACATTTTATGTCTTCTAGCTGGACTAGAATAGGCTACCCAGGGCCTTAAAAGGGGATGCTTCCCTGAGGAAGGCTGTGGGAGGGGGGAACACAGCTGTGGCTTCTCATTGCAGTAGTGCCCCTTGACCCAGACAGTCCTTGGAGTAGCTGATTGTGGGTTCTGTTGGACAAGGGACTGGAGACTGGGAAGAGTTTGACAGGTGGGGAATGAGGCTGAAGAAAGCAATGGCCAGGACATACAGGGAGCAAGGCTTGAAGAGCAGAGGGCATTCTGTCTGGCTACAACCTAGAGTAAATATGCTGACTCATCTTTGCCTCTTTTGTCATTTCTAGATCCTCGGGACTGGCTCTGCTTACCTGCTGGATGTGAGGCCAACATACACCAAGTGGGCTTGATGTCAGCATCCAACTAACCCCATTTCTCTGCGTCTTTCTTTTTCTCTGTTCTGTTTTAGAAATTGAGGCCGAAAAAGCACGTGAGTGACTCTAAGCAACAGGATTCCCTCAGTATGCTCAGCTTTTTGAAGGTAAAGCCACCTCAATTGCTTGCCACCCCCATTCATGAACCTTCCTTATCTCTCAGTTTTCCATCTGTGAAATGGGGCAAATCAGCTCCTCTCTCTGACCACACAAGAAGCTGTGCATTCTAGTCCTGCTCAAAAGCTGTCAGGGACATTCCTCTTATGGTTACAAGTGCTCTCTCCTACACCATTCTTTCACTACTGGATCACTCCCTTTGCTCTGGTGTTACCCTTGTTTGGATGTACCTGGTCTTGACCACCACCACTGTTCTGTGTCACTCCTGAAAACACTGTTTGCATAGATACAATGTGAAAGGTGCCCCCTGGTGAGCTTTGGTGGCCCAGCCTTGAGGTAACTTTCCCCACAGCAATGTACTCATTTTTCTGTGCTTCTTCATTTCTCTGCTTTTCTTCAAAGTTCTTCATTCCCACTGTTTCCACTTGCCTTCTTCCTATACCCTCACTGTACCCTGGTTTCACCCCCACCTCACCTTGCCAAGCTCACCTGTCACCTCATGTGGTTACCTTCAGTGGTCACTTCCCAACTATCTTACTCCATCTCTCACCAGCAGTCAAGTGCTATTGGCCACTCTACTTTGGCTTCTGAAACACACCCTCCCACCCCCCAGCTGCTTCTCTGGCTGCTCCTCTTGGTCTCCTTAGCTGACTCTGCTTCCTTTAACTTATATCTACATGTTAGGGTGTCCTAGGGCTCACTCTGCGCTCTCTTCTTTTTCAACAGTTCGTTCTCATAAGATCCTAATCCAAGTATCATCTCTATTCTAATGACTCACAAATGTTTCTGTTCAGACCTCATTCCCAGGCTCCAGATTTGTCTATTCAATTGCCAATTCAGTATCTCTACTCATATGTCTGACAGGATCCTCAAATTTAACAGGTCTAAAACCAGGAGACTTGGATGGGGGTGTGGTGGTAAAACGTGTCATTCCACAAGGGTAAGCCACATGGGAAAGTTCCCAGTTCAAGTCCAGAGATCTCACTTGAGTATGCCAGGCATGCATGCCCATGATCTGGGGCTGGCTAAAGCTGGGGTGGATTGTGGTGTCAAGACCCTATCAGGTGTACCTGTTTTGTCTCTCTCTCCTTTCTGACCTCCAAGCTTAAACACGTGCCATCTGGTGCTGTGATCTCTACACCAAGCTGGAGGTATCCTATCTGCCTCCATCTGATGAGGTCACTCTTCTGCTCCAAGCCCTCTGATATCTCGTGAGCATACTCAGAAGGAAATGAGCCCAAATGTTGTACTCTGGCTAACAAGACTACTGTCCACCACCTTGTGTTATACTCCCATTTGGTCACTACTCCAAACTTCCTTCTACTCCTGCTCACACCAAGCTCCTCTTCTCCTTAGAGCCTTGATGTTAGTGTCACTCCTGCCTGCAGCTCTTGTTGCAATTTCTTGGCATGGCTGGCTTCCTCTCATCCTTAAGGATTCAGCTCAGAAGTCACTGCCTCAGAAAGACCTTTGCTGAAAGCCTCTCTACCAGTAACCCCCAGCCTACAAGTCTCTGTATCTCCCATCATCCTGGCTACTGTATTACATGGCATTTATCACTACACTATCTTGATTTCCTTGCATTGTTTCTTCTCTGTGTCCTGTGAGAGTTTAAACCCCAGAAAGGCAGGGACTAGTTTTGTCCACTGTTATACACCCAATGTCTTGTACAGTAGTGGGCACAAAGTAGGTGCTAAGTTAAAATTAGTTGAATTTGTAAACAAATGGCCTCACTTTACCAGTAAGGCAGAAATCTGTGGGACTTCACAGATTCTCTCACCCCTTCTCCCAACTCTTTCCTTTTTCCTCTCCCCTCCCTAAGTCCCAAGAGTGGGCTCCCCTGCTGCTCTGGACAATAGGTGGAAATAAAGTATTCTTTAGCTACACCCTTCTGTCCTGGCTCCCTCCCTACCACCACCCTCCCTCAGTTCACCTTGGACCAGGAAAGAGGTTCCCTGTCTGACCAGCCTAGGATTTAAAGAGGGCCAGGCAGCCACTCAGAGTCGTAGCTTGCTGACTGATAGGGACCTCTGGGCCAGCTCAACCCTTATGGTTTTTCCCCAGTCTTTCCCCCAACTGGCAACCCTGAGCTCCCTGTTTCTCCCTTCTGCACTCCTGGCTTTCTCCTTCTGCTTTGGCCCTTGCCTCTCTGCCTCCCATCTTCCCAGCCTTCCCCCTTCCAGCTCAAAGGTTGCTAAGGCTGAGTTGACAGTCTACTGCTGGACTCATCTTTGCTTCTCTATGCCACACAGAAGGTTCCTTTCCCCTGGATATTGGCTCTGTGAAGAAGGACCATGATTTTCTCAACAAGGATTCTTGGGGGCCCTGTGCAGGTGTGGAGGCTAAGGGCCAGGCTTAAGAAGCCAAAGGTCCAACTTGGGACTTCCTCACTGGAAAAGGACTCCCATGTACCCTCTAATAGAGGGGTACCCTAGCTCAGTAACAAAGCGCATCTCCCACGGTCATGTGGCTCATTCTGTTATCTATGTCTGTGATTCCCTCACCCATCTAGCTACTGTAGCTAGAAAGCAAAGATATGGCCTTGATCTTTTTCTCCTTAAGTTAGGTCCCTCAAATGTTGCTGTGATTCAGACCCTCTTTATTGACACAGGCTCAGTCCTTGTTTGAGCCCAAATCATGACTTCTCTTTGTATCTGTTAAAGTAGCCTACTACCCGGCTTTAGTCTCCCTACTCATCCCCCATCTCCTATCACTGATTCCATTACTCTCTATAGGCATCAGAGTCAGCTTTTTAAAACTCCAACTGGATGTTCCTCTGCTTAAAATTTCTCACTGCCTATGGTCAAAAGTGCATGGGTTTTTGTTTGTTTTCATGACACTGGAGTCCCTTTGCAGTCTGGCTTTGGCTTACCTTATCAGCCTTGATCCCACCCTCTCACACCTACACTGGTCTATTGACTGGCCATTTTCTTCTCTACCTTGACACAGGTTCCTATGGAAGCCTGGGCTAGAACTCCTATTTCTCTCACTCTCAAAATCCCATTTCTGTCCTCCAGGAAATCTTCTGATTATATCTCTTCCCTTGATATAAGTTCATTGTGGTTCCCTCTGTGCATCTTCTGTACCTTTTGTCTGTTTTTGAACCTGTTCCATTTTTTAGTGGTTCATTTCTACATTTGTGAGATCAAGGAAGACAAAGGCCATAGTCTTTACAGCATTGTGCCTGATGTTTCAACATTCCTGAATACTGGAGCTTGGGAGTTGTTCTGATGGTTTGGGCATGTGAAGTGATAGATGGTATCTTGGAAGTGTCTTGGTAGGTTATGCCAGGCTTTGGGGTTTGGGTTCCTTGGGTGAATACTTCTATTTTGTTGTAGGAGGCTGATGACCTTGAACGATTGTACGTCAATGAAACTGGAGGTTCATTTTCAAAGCAAGCAGGTGAGTCAGGGCAAAGGGTAGATGCTCTGGTTTTGTGGCACCAGGGGAAATCCAGGGCATATGTAAACCATGTGTGAAACTAGCTGCAGTATTCCAGGAATCTAGAGTGTTCAGAGCAGTTCCTTTGCTCTAGACTAGGGGTAGTGAGATAGGAGACTCTACGGGGCTGCTGGGTTCAGACAAGCTGCTGGAGGTTGGAATGTGAGAGCATGTGCCCTGGCCCAGGGCCTCCCCCTCCCACACTCAGCCCACCTCTCTCTCCTAGGTTTACCAGTAACTTGATTTTGTGATAGCTAAAATTCCTTCACTAGGGTGGAATAATATGGTGGAAAGATGTTGGCCCATATGATCTTAGAAGTGAGGATCCCCAACTTCACTCCTATAAGGTCTTACTCCTCATATTTTCCTATCTCTACAATGAATCACAGCTCTGGATGAATAGCCTCCAAAGACTTTTCCAACTTTGTCACTCTGGGATTGCAGAATCCAAGAGTACTCTCGGTCCATACTCAGCTCAAGAATACATGTCTAGTGACCCTATCCTTTCCTGAGAACAGTCTTTGGTGTTGGTCAAGTGGTTTCTTATTCATCGGTCTCAGTTTCCCTGTCTGTAAAGTGGGGGAGGAAGATGAATTACATGGGTATTCCCAGTTGTCTGGGCTCTGTCTATGACTCCTGGCATCTTCCAGTACTCCCAGAGCCAGCTTCCCCTCCTAGCCATGTCCTTGACCAGAAAGCAGGGCCCTTCACCTCCAAGTGCCCTAAGAATTGGATGCAGAATGGATCACAAGCAAGGAGTGTGGGCTGGGCTTCTCTGACTGAGCTCCATGGTGCCCTCTCCAGAATGAAGACTCAGAAGAGGAAGAGCACTGTACCATCAGCAGTCACTGGGCCTTCCAACATGAAAGTAAGCACTGGTCTTGCCTGGGCTCTTCTGATCTGCTGGCCTCACCGAGTCCTGGCCTGCCAGTGACCTCAAGCTGTGAGAGTATCCTCACTGAGCTCAGTGCTGCCTCTCTGTCAGCCATCACCATAAGCCTGCCACCTGAGCCAGTGGACCTGCCCTTGCAAGGTCAGGCCCCCAGCTCCAGTGGCTAGACCCTCCTTAGCCCTGGCCTAGGCCAGGAGGGTCCCAAGGACAAAGCTAAGAAGCATCATTCCCGTAGTTTTCTCAAGCACCTGGAGTCTCTGCAGAGGAAGAAAAAGTTTGGTGGCAGGCAAACAGAACCTGAGCAGAACCCAGCCACCTCAGGGAATGCCACCAAAGCCTCATATTTCCAAAGTTGCTGTGGCTTCCTCTCAGTGGGATTTTACAGGGCCAAGAAACGGGGGGCCACTGCAGGCAGTGGCTGATGTGCCAACACTTAGAGAGCCTGGGAAGCCTGGCCTGTGGCCATGTTTCGGCATTCTCAGCAGGTACACCAGAGTGACTGCCTGATACATGTACCTGGGGACCACAAACCAGGCACATTCCCTCGTTCCCTGTCCATTGAGAGCCTATGTCCTGAGGATGGACACCACCTAGCAGATTGGCAGCTTGGTCAATGCTGGAGCTACAAAGGGTGCCGGGACTCCTGTGGCTCAACAAACATACATACCAGCACCTATGACAACTTGTCCGTGGTGTACCCAGCTGAGCCGCTACTGGCTGGGACTGATGCTGAAGATGAGGAGGATAGGAGCAGCTATACCCACCTGGATGACATCCTCCAACATGTGTGTGGGCTACAGCAACGAGTAGAGCTCTGGTCTCAGGCCATGTGCCCAGAGCTGAGGCCTGGAGACAAGGAAGAGGAAAACAAGGAGGAAGAAGAGGTGGCCATTTCATCAGTAGAAATTGCCATAGTTGAGGGTGAGGGCCAGGCTGAAGCCTCAGCCCATGGAGCGTCCTTGGCCCAGATCCAGGCTGAAGTTCAGCCATTCGTCCCTGCTCATGCTCAGGCCACTGTCCCAGCCCCATCTGAGGCTGAGAGTGAGGCTGAGCCATCAGCACAGGCAGAGGCCCCAGCCCCAACTCAGGACACTGAACAGGAGGCAAATTCAGGTGGGGAACCCACCTTTGCCTCCAACCTGTCTGTGGAAGAAAGACACTCCATTTCTGACACTCTGCCTTCCTCCAGTGAACTTGACAGTAGTGAGAACTCCATGAATGAGGCTGAGGCCACAGCAGGCCTGGCTGGACTGCAGGCACCTGTGCCCCACAAGCGGCGTGATTCAGGTGTTGGGGCCTCACTTACCAGACCCTGCAGGTGGGAGTTTGGGGCGGGGGTCGGGGGAGGAGGACCCTATGCACGTGCTCTCTCTCTCTCTGAAGCTGATTTCTTAGTTGTAAGGCCAGGGTGGGTGCTTGGAGACTGGGCAATCACTCTCAGGCAGTCATTACCAAGAGAGAAGTATTTTAATAGCAAAAGTACAGGACTGGGGAAACAATGATGGTAGGTTCAGGACCTATCTCTGCTACTGACCTGAAGAAGCTAATAGCACTTCCTTGGGTCTCAGTTTCCTCATCTATAAAGTAAGAGTGTGAGTGAAGTTGGCCTCTGACCCCCAGCTTTGCCATTCAGGGTTTCTTGGGGCAGGCCCTCCACTAGTCTTGGAATGGGTAGGTGAGATAGGCAGCTGCTGGTGGTTGGCACTAGATGGCCTGAAATCTGTGCCACCTCCATGAGAACTTACTGGCCCCTAGGAAGACTTGGAATCTGAATCTAAGCTTTTTCCACTCTGAGGACCACCAGTAGTGCTGAAAGTAGTCCCATCTCTCCACATTTTATTTCTTTGGTAAGAGAAAAAGGGACCAGATGAAAAGAATGTCTTGGAAGGTTGAGTGAGACTCACTCCTCTGGCCTTCACCCCATCACTCCTACCAGAAAGCTCCACTGGCACAGCTTCCAGAACCCCTACCGGCCTAGCCTCAACTCAGAGTCACTGGAAATCAACCGGCAGTTTGCAGGTCAGATTAACCTCCTGCACAAAGGCTCGTTGCTGTGGCTCACTGCCTTCATGGAGAAGTACACTGTGCCCCACAAACAGGGCTGGGTCTGGTGAGTGGCTCCTGGGCCCAGTGGGTGAGGTGGGGAGCTGCTGACTCAGGTCTTGGACCTGAGAAAAGTCAGCCCACAGGTGGCTACAGACAAGCAGAGCCGATGTGCCAGCAGACTGGAGGGGCTGTGTCAGGATGGGGATGAGATGGGGAACCCTAGGTCCTCCAACTGTACCCTCTCTCTCCTACCCTCCATGCTGCCCTCAATGAGACTATCCTAAAATACAGTTTTGGTTACCACACACCCCATAAGTAAACACCTTCCAGTGGCTTCCCTATTGTCCATAGGTCATGATTCTTTCACATTCTGGTCCTGCTACCTCTTTCTAGTTCTTTGGCCTGCAATGCCATCTTACAGGCCAATGGGACTAGTCACCCTCTCCTGAATGTGCCATGCTCCTTTTCTTACCATTTTGCCTTTGTTCATGCTGTTGTCTCTTCCTGGAATGCCTTTTCCCCACTTCCCCTCTGGGACAACACCTACCTATCTCTCAAGAGCCAGCTGAATTACCATCTCCTCTCTGAAACCTTCTCTGACCTGCTAGGTACAGTTCCCCTCCACTATGGGTCTTCCCCTACATTCTTGATCTGCTACCAGCCACTGCTATTGACACTGCCAGCTAACAGTTAACCTCCGTGACCAGACTGAGAGTACCCTGTGCTTTTCTGCTACTTTCTTTTTTTTTTTTTTCATTATTTTCTTCTTTTTTTTGAGAGTTTTTTTGCTATAGGGCACGTGCGCTCACCAGAAAGACAGAAAGAGATACAGAGAGACAGAAAGTGAGAAATCACCCCCCAGGGGGGATGGCCATGTTGCAATCCCTTCTCCTCCATTCTCCTCTCAGGATCTTGGGCACGCACGCACAGGTGCCCGGTGTGAGTTTAAGCCACCAGGTTTGGGACTCGAACTGTGGTCGACTACATGGGAGTCCAGCGACATAGCCATTACGCTAACTGCTGGTCCCTTTTTCTGCTACTTTTTAGGGCTGAACACAAAGCAGGTGCTCACTGAGTGTTGACTCTTGCATTGTGGTGTGTTCTTTGCCCTCCCCCCAATCTAAGCCCCCAAGATTGAAGACAGAGTCCCCAAACTATGCTCTCTCTGATGGCTTGGCATTCTCCTAAACAGGTCAGTGCCCAAGTTCATGAAAAGGAACAAAACCCCAGACTACCGAGGACAACATGTATTTGGGGTGCCACCCCTCATCCATGTGCAGCGCACAGGCCAGCCACTGCCACAGAGCATTCAGCAAGCCATGCGCTACTTGCGTAGCCAGTGCTTGGACCAGGTGAGTCCCTCTGGGGGATCCTGCCTAGAAGAGGTGGTGCTGGGAGGCAGGAGAGACCTGAAGCTGAGGAGCTGAAGGAAACTGCTCTGACTTTCCCTCTGGGTTGGGCCTATCCATCAGAGATGTTTTCTTGTTTTCAGCAAGAATGGAGTCAAAGCTCCCTTTCTTCCCTTTGGGCTGGACCCTCTGCCCAGCTCTGTGCTAACTTTTTACTGACCGAGACTCTATAGTTCCTGCCTTCTAGGAGCCTGCCTTAGCCTAGGTCTACCTCTTCTTACTCATCTCTGTGAGAGCCATCTTTCTCATTGACTGCAAAAGCCCTTCTCTGGTTTTACCATTTCTCTCTTACCCTGTTCAGCAGAAAGCTTGCCAGACTTTGAAGTTGCTGGGGAGGCCTGTACTCCTATCACTCAATCCAATGCTGGCCTCAGTCTCCCTCTTACCCCCACATGTCTCCCTCTGTCCCTCTATCCCTCCCTTGTATGGGCCAGGTGGGCCTCTTCCGCAAGTCTGGGGTCAAGTCCAGGATCCAGAATCTCCGCCAAATGAATGAGACCTCCCCTGACAATGTCTGCTATGAAGGTCAGTCAGCCTACGATGTGGCTGACCTGCTGAAACAATATTTCCGGGACTTGCCTGAGCCCATCTTCACCAGCAAGCTCGCCACCACTTTCCTAAAGATCTACCAGCGTGAGTCACCTGTACCTATCCCCAATGACCTGCTCCATTTTCAACCTCCCTGACTCCTGGGGCTTGTGGAGGGTAAACTTGGTACAGACAAATGTAGCCAAACTCATGAATGTACTATAAATTTACTCTTGGCACTTGGAAAAGCCCTTGGAGAAAGACCACATTCTCCTCCCCAAACCAATTATACAGAAGGGTAGACTGAGGTCCAAGGAATGGACTTAACCTAAGCTTACACTGCACATTAGCAACAAAGCTACATTTAGCACCCAGAGACCTTCCAGGGTAGACCTCTTCCCTAGCCTTGTCCTTCCCACTCACCAACTCCTCTTAGGAGCACTGTGCCTTCTGCATTCTTGGAGGCAGGAGGTTAGGGGTCAGAGCTTCTGGAAGAGTAAAGATAGTCCTTCTGCCATTCCTTTCTCACAGTCCTCCCCAAGGACCAGTGGCTGTCAGCAGCACAGGCTGCCACCTTGCTGCTCCCTGATGAGAACCGAGAGGTATTACAGACCACTTGGTACAGACAAATGTAGCCAAACTCATGAATGTACTATAAATTTACTCTTGGCACTTGGAAAAGCCCTTGGAGAAAGACCACATTCTCCTCCCCAAACCAATTATACAGAAGGGTAGACTGAGGTCCAAGGAATGGACTTAACCTAAGCTTACACTGCACATTAGCAACAAAGCTACATTTAGCACCCAGAGACCTTCCAGGGTAGACCTCTTCCCTAGCCTTGTCCTTCCCACTCACCAACTCCTCTTAGGAGCACTGTGCCTTCTGCATTCTTGGAGGCAGGAGGTTAGGGGTCAGAGCTTCTGGAAGAGTAAAGATAGTCCTTCTGCCATTCCTTTCTCACAGTCCTCCCCAAGGACCAGTGGCTGTCAGCAGCACAGGCTGCCACCTTGCTGCTCCCTGATGAGAACCGAGAGGTATTACAGACCCTGCTCTACTTCCTAAGTGACATTGCCTCTGCCAAGGAAAACCAGATGACAGCCAGCAACCTAGCAGTGTGCCTGGCACCCTCCATCTTTCACCTCAATGTCTCCAAGAAGGATAGCCCCTCACCCAGGTGAAATCTGGCAGGGCATGTCAGGGCCAGGCTGGGAGGGTTGGGCTTTTGACCTTTGGTGGCTGGCAATGTGGCTCACTGGCCTTACCACAAGGGGTCAGCCTAACTCCTTAAGGATCCCAGGCGTGGTTGGACACTGAAGCAGGGCCTTCCAAAAGACAGTAGACCTGACAGCCTTCTTGTCACATGCCCTTCTGCCATCCTCTCCTCTTTCCCCCTCTATCCAGGATTAAGAGCAAATGCAGCCTGGTTGGCCGGCCAGGCCCCAGGGACCTGAGTGAGAACATGGCTGCCACTCAAGGCTTATCGCATATGATCAATGACTGCAAGAAACTTTTCCAGGTGAATAATCCTGGGACATGGTGCCTACTTACCAGACTCAGGGGAACCATCAGCCCTGATCTTTGTGCCCTAAGTCAGGAATGGGGTCCAACTTGACAAATACCCCTCAACCTACTTTCAACTATCCCTCTACAAGGTGTCTCATCCATCCTGCTTTAGTAGCCATGCTTCTCCACTGCCTTTAACATGAGTTGACAGATCCCATGAGGGTCTTCTGCTCACTAAGGCCCCCAGCCACTATGTGTGTATTCTCTCAGGTGCCCCAGGACATGGTGCTGCAGCTGTGTGGCTCCTACCATGCAGCTGAACTCAGCCCTCCCGGCCCAACCTTGACTGAGTTGCGGCAGGCCCGAGCTGCTGGCATGAGCCTGAGCCTAGCCATGGAGGAGAGCATCCAGGAACTACTGTGCAATGCTGCTGAGTGCTCCAAGGGCTGGATGAGTGTGCCAGGACCCCAGCATATGGAGCTGGCTTGCAGGAAGGTGGGCACCGCGCTTGGTAAAGGCCTGGGGCTTGTGGAGCCCAAATGAAGCAGCTACCCTACCAGTCTCACAGTGCCTCGGCCTGATAATTATGTAAGCCGGCTCAGCAAGTATCTAAGGCAATGGTCCCCAACCTTTTTTGTACCAGGGACCAGTTTTATAGAAGACAGTTTTTCCATGGATCTGGGGAGGGGCCTGGTTTCAGGATAATTTAAGCACATTACATTTATTATGTACTTTATTTGTATTATTATTACATTGTAATATATAATGAAATAATTATTCAACTTACTATAATGTAGTATTTGCAGTCAGTCCCCGAGGTAGCTAGCATCACCGCCTCAGCTCCACCTCAGATCATCAGGCATTAGATTCTCACAACAATTGTGCAGCCTAGATCCCTCACATGTATAGTTCACACTAGGGTTCATACTCCTATGAGAATCTAATGCTGTTGCTGAACTGATAGGAGATGGAGTTTAGGCAGTAATGCAAGCAATGGGAGCAGCTGTAAGTACAGATGAAGTTTCACTCATTAGTCCACCACTCATCCCCTACTGTGCGGTCTGGTTCCTAAAAGGGATTGAAGATTCTTTTCCTTAAGGAATAAGAATGAAATTAAATCACTTGCCAGAATTCCCTTCCAAAATCCCAACTCCAGATATGATACTACTTTTGGAGTCTTAGCTCCCATCTCTCCCTACATCATGGTCAAGCTGAACTCCTTGCATTTCCAACTTTGGGCCTCTGCTCATACTGACCTGTGCTCAGACTGATCTGCTCCCAAGGGGTACATTGTCCAAGTCATATTGGCACTAGCATAATCTGTCCCTCTTCTACTGTAGGCCTTTTGTCATGTTCCAAGCGGGAGGTAATTTTTCTGTGTCCTTAGCACTATCATGCTATTTCTGGGCTGCTGATTCTAGAAAAGATCACAAGCCTGAAGTTTCTCACATATGAAATACTCCTAATGAAATCTCCCTTATAAGGGTGAGAACTGGTATGTCCAACATGCCAAAAGGCTCCACATATGGCAGGTTTTTTTTTTTTTTTTTGGGGGGGTTTTTTCTTTAGGGGG